GGATGCCTAAGCAAAGAATGGATTTGGCAAGGAAAAAGTTAAACATTGTGAAGGGAACAAAGTCAATGAGGAAAGCAATTGTGAAAACACAATTTAATAGCTCTTATGAGCTTGATATTGTGGAACTTTCAAAATTGTCGCAGCTTATTGGAGAGGAGTTTAAGCTGGAGATTGAAATCAGGTAGAAGGGAACTTTGAGAAAGCAATACGTGCTTTCTATTTGGGATGGCATTTTTCCAATCCAAAATATCAACATTAATAAAATGTCATCCTTGTATCAGAAAAAAATGTTGCGGAATAATAATGTCAACATGGCTATGAGCTCATGTATGAAGTATGAACATATCTTCTATCAATAATAGTACGGGTGGTCGCTTATAATTTGCAAGCATGTCAATCATAAACATAAACCTGTAGCATATATAGCAACTTACCAAGTAGGTGTATTAACAGCAAATCCACACAAGATTTTCACCTCCACTCGCATTTACATGTTATTCTTCCCCTTTTTCCATTAGCAGCCTATATTCTTATAGCTCATTTTTAGCAAATTAGTAATTAATTTGCTAAAAATGAGCAGATAATTGGAAATAGTTATATATCTGACCAAGGAAGCTTTTATAACATATTTAGAACATCATTCAAAATTTGTTATTGAGAAGAATCATCACAACTACCAAATCATACCAAACTGTTAAGACAAGCAATGGGCAGCGGAAGCATAAAACAATGTATATATCAAATTTTGTTAAAATTAAATAACAACTTGAAGGTAATCAAAATGTTTATATTTTAGTATATTTTGAAGTGAATATATTACGTCAATTTTGTTTTATAAGAATGAAGTATCAAATCATCTTGAATTAATATAAAATTTTATACATATAATCTAAGAGATATAAACTTTCAATTTAACAGTTACATTTATAAAATTCACATTTAATATAAAGTTATTAAATGATGTAATACTTAATAAAAATTACATCAGTGTCATTTGAACCCTCTTCATATATATATATATATAATACTTTAATTAACATCATATATTTAATTCATCATTTGTTTAACTTGTTCCTATAGTTCTCAAGCCAATAGAGACATTTATTTCATAATCGAATATTAATTAATGCAAAATAAAACACTAAGCAAAAGAAAACAGAAAAGAACTTCAATCATAACGATTTGAGAACAATAATGGAAGGACGTCTACGCCGCACAGTTTAACATGTAGAACTTGTCAACATTAATGGTAACCCATTAATATGCTAAATATATATATATATAATTAATTAATTAATTAATTAATTAATTAATAACAATTCTTAGATTAAAATAAATAATTTAAATTAAAAAATTACAAATAAAATTATCACGTACTATCATCATCGTAATTTTTTCTATTATTATTTTCGTTATTTTCATCACCTTGGCTTTCACCGTACCTTTACCACATCACTATCATTGTTGCCACTTCTACCATCACTAGCAATGGTGGTGGTAGCGATAATAGTAGTGACAATTAATATAACTGTAGTCACCATCATCACTGTCATCGTCTTTCATGTAGTTGTCACCTATATTATTGATGTTGTTGGTGTTACAACAACAATGATGTGGTGACATTGATGTGATAATATATGACAACTTTATTTATAATAATCTTTTTAATCTAAGTCATTTATTTTAATTTAAGGGTTGTTATTAGTTATTTTCTTATTCTCATATTAGTAAATGTTCATTTAAGTTGTTCCCTATATACCCTAACCTCCATACCCCTTAAAGATCTAATTACTTCAAGTCAATAAGTCATGTTTTACATCAAATTTCAATTATCTAATCATTAAATTAAAAACTTTTAATATATAAATCATGTCTACAGTTTTGTAAAAAATTTAAAAATTATTTAATACTTTATTTTGTTAATTCAAATTGACATATAATTATAAAAATATTTTATACATAAATTTAAATAAATATAACAAAATATTATATATTTTTAAATTTATTAAAAATTTATAGTCTTAATTTATATATTAATAAATTTTAATTTAATAATTAATTTATTAAAATTTTTAATATAAAATATAAATTATTGAATAAAATAAGTTAATTTTTTTACACTCATTTCAGAATTGGGTGTGACTAAAATCTATCATTTTTTTAAACTTGAACGCTTGTTAAGTAACAAAATCTACAAGGTTCCCCGTATTCTTCCAATAAATCTCGATCTACCAATCAACTTTCGCTTTTTAACCTAGCGTGCACTTCTTGTATTAAATTAATTGAATTGAAATAATAGACTACACGTTAAAAAAAATTGCTACCTTTGAATGGTAACATGGTGACAACATATATATAGAGATCAAGGTTCAAACGATACCGGTGTAATTTTTACTAAGTATTATATTATTTAATAACTTTATATAAATTGTAAATTTTATAAATTTAATCGTTTGGTTGAAAGTTCATATCATTTTATATGTATATATCAAATTTTGTTAAAATTAAATAACAACTTGAAGGTAATCAAAATGTTTATATTTTAGTATATTTTGAAGTGAATATATTACGTCAATTTTGTTTTATAAGAATGAAGTATCAAATCATCTTGAATTAATATAAAATTTTATACATATAATCTAAGAGATATAAACTTTCAATTTAACAGTTACATTTATAAAATTCACATTTAATATAAAGTTATTAAATGATGTAATACTTAATAAAAATTACATCAGTGTCATTTGAACCCTCTTCATATATATATATATATAATACTTTAATTAACATCATATATTTAATTCATCATTTGTTTAACTTGTTCCTATAGTTCTCAAGCCAATAGAGACATTTATTTCATAATCGAATATTAATTAATGCAAAATAAAACACTAAGCAAAAGAAAACAGAAAAGAACTTCAATCATAACGATTTGAGAACAATAATGGAAGGACGTCTACGCCGCACAGTTTAACATGTAGAACTTGTCAACATTAATGGTAACCCATTAATATGCTAAAGACAACATGTATTACTTAGAAATATTATCCATTTAGGAGGAACATGAAAGCAAAAAAAAAAAAAAAAAAAAAAAAA